TCTCTCTGCCTCTCTCAGCGCTCTCACGCCGCGTGGTCGAGCGTGGAGGCAACACATGCAAGAGGAAGCCGAAGGAGGGCGGCGCGGCGCCACAGCGTCTCTCCCGCGCTCTATCGCGATATATCGACGTACATATCCGCACATATAGACGGAGATGCGCACACACACACACACACACACACACACACACACACACACACACACGCACACACACACACACACACGCACACACATCACGCACCATCAAGCAGGCCGCGGTCCCCGGGTATGGGCTCGTCAAAGCACCACGCAGCAACACGCGGGCACAGCACATCCATCCCCGTCTGTCGCATGTATCGCTGCAAACACAAGCGTCGAGTGATGAGCACCAACGTATGCGTGTGTGCGTGTGTGTGCGTGTGTAGGTGTGTGTGGGTGTGTGTAGGTGTGTTTAGATTTGTTCGCATATCCAGGGCACGCAACAGAGATGAGCGGTTGTTTACGTCGATGCATCGTGATTGGTCGCCGGAGACGCGCTGCAGCTCCGCCTCGGCATTCTCCAACATCGTGTTGCCTGGTGTTGATGACGAGGGCCACACACACACACACACACACACACACACACACACAGACACACACAGACACACAGACACACACAGACACACAGACACACACACACACACACAGACACACAGACACACGCACACACACACACACACACACACACACACACACCGACACAACGCACCTTTGAAGGAGCTGCTCGCGGTTGTACGTATCCTCAGGGGCAGGGTTATGCTTTGCCTGTCATCGTCCCTGCTCACCTCAAACGTGACATTCTTGCTTGTAGCCATCACGCTTGTTGTCTGGTGTTGTGGTGTTTGACAATGGTTCTGCTTTTGCTTGCTGTTGTTCGTGTTGTTGTTGTCGCTGTTTGACGAATGAGACACAGGCCAACACATCACACACATACATACACGCAATGCATCAGAGGAAAGCAGGCCTGCCCGCAAAGAGGCACACACACACACACACACACACACACACACACACACACACACACACACACACACACACACACACACACACACAAACATGCAACACCAGGCAGGAATGAAGGAAAGCACGCGTCAAGGGACAATGGAGGAAAGGTGAAGAGGGATGCGGTTCGTGGAGCAGGGGCCTTGATCTGATCACTTGTTAGCGCCCTGCGCCCTCGCTGTGATGGCAGATTGCTGTGTGCGTGTGTGTGTGTGTGTGTGTGTATGTGTGTGTGTGTGTCATGAAGTGAGCGTACGCGAGGATAACATGACGACAAACACATCCATACATAAGCACACGCACAAAGGCACACACACACACACACACACACACACATCCACCAAGCACACAGGAGACGTGCACGCGTGGGTACCTCGGCGAGGTTCACGGCCTCGCTGGCTTTTGTGCGAGTCAGAAGCTGCGAGCCCTTCCAGATGCCTGCGATGGAAATACACAGCCAGCAAGGAACAGGTGAGAGCGGGAAATACGAACACACACACACACACACACACACACACACACACACACACACACACACACACACACACACACACACACACACACACACACACAAAAGCTAACCTTCTTGGCGAGGCTGGCCATGTGTGCCATCAGGGAAGGTCAAGAGACCACTGTCACATTACATCCACATGCACAAGCACAACACGTGTATCGGGGTCAAACCAGATGTGAGTGAGCTATTATTGCGGTGATGGTCATGCTAGCAAACTGACACGTCGGAGGTATTCGCGTGTGCTTGTTCACGTACCTGCCATCAACCTGACCGGCCTGGAACTGGCCCTGGAACTTCATCCCGTCCGCACGCTGGTAGACGCCGTAGCCGTGGTACTTGCCGCCCTCAAAGTCACCCTCATACTTGCTGTTGTCTGCGTCGTGTTTGGCATGCATATAATATGTGTGTTGTGAGGTGACACGGGGGCGGGGGTGAACATGAGCAAGGGCGAATGTTCGAGATGAGTGACAAAGAGAGACACGCACAACAACGGAGCAGCAGAGAAGCAAATGATCTGCTTGTTTCACAAAAAAAGCATGAAAGACCCCCAACATTCCACAGCAACCACAGTACCAGGCACAGTACAGGCAAGAAACGACGTGAGTGCAACTCAATTCAACACACACCGGGGAATGTGAGGATGCCCTTTCCGTGGCAGAGACCGGCCTTGAAGTGGCCAACAAAGCGGGCACCGTCCGCAAAGGTGAGGATCCCAAACCCTTCACGCTGTTGACCAAACCATGGGTGTGTGTGAGCGGTGCTGGCGTCAGTGAAACGTGTGCCATTATACACTGCATGCCGATATGAGCGCAAACCAAGCATACAAAGCAAAAAAAAAAAAAAAGTAAGGGACAAAGGAAACCACGCATTCACCCACACATGAAAACACCCACACACACACACACCTGCCCCTCGGCGTTCCATTCGCCCTGGTACTTGTCGCCCTCGTTGTATTCGACGGCGTGGTAGCCCGCAGCGACAGACATGTTGTTGGATGGATATGGATGTGGATACGGACGGGGTGTGGCAAGTCGCTCTTGAGGAGGAAGGTGTTGTTTGGGTTTTGCTTCGTGTTGGCTGGCTGGCTCAGCGATTCGGAAAATTTATGGTCATCTTCCATAACATTCTCAACTTGTGTGTGTGTGTGCGTGTGTGTGTGTGTCTTTGTGTGTGTGTGTGTGTGTGTCTTTGTGTGTGTGTGTGTGTGTGTGTGTGTGTGTGTGTTTTGCTTCTCTCCCTCCTCTGTCTCTCTTCTGCTCCCCTCCTCTGTCTCTTCTCTGCCCCCCTCCTCTGCCCCTCTCCTCTGTCCCTCACATACGCACAAAACGCACTCAGGACAATGGCAGGCAATGGATGTGCTGCTACTGGTCCACCTGTACAGTCTGCTCAACCTTGCGCGTGTGCGGATTCAGCTCATGCTGGATCTGGTCAATGGTCTTGCCTGCACACGCACACAACCCCCCCCCCCAATGTATACACAAGCATACGCACACACATGTACACACACAACCACACACACGCACGCATATGAGCCATTGATATCGAAGAGCAGACGCGTTGATTTGGGGGTGACAACAGAGGACAGCACATATGCACACAGGTACGCAGATGCAAACTCATGACGCTCGCACACGTCAAGACGTCAACATACGCACGCACGCACGCACCTTTCGTCTCTGGCACGAACACGAGAACAAAGAGGCCGAACAAAGAGCAGAGGACAATAAAGGGAATGAAAACATTGTGGCCAATGGCTTTCTGCAAACAGAAAAAGACGAGAGTGTGTGTGATTGTGTGAAGTCAGTGTGTTGTGCGTGTGAGGGTGACGCACGTGAACCCGCTTTGCTGTGAACCTGCCTGCACACACATGTGCACACACACACATGCACGCGTTACCTGGAGTGGCGTGAAGGAAATGCCAACAACAAAGTTGAAGATCCAGTTGCACGCGACGCACAGCGACATGGCGGAGGTAGTGGCCTGCGCAGGAAACAGCTCAGCGGCCTGGTAAAAGGCACAACACAAGGGGGTGTGGCAAGTGAAGGCGAGAGGCGACGGATGAATCGACAGTTGTCTACTTGCGTGTCTGTGTCTACCTCTCACACACACATACACTCACCCACCCACACAAACACTCACTCGCACACTCACTCACTCACTCACTCACTCACGCCCTCTCACACACACACACACGCACACTCACTCACACACACACTCTCACACACACACACTCTCTCTCTCTCCCCCTCTCGATGCACGTGTGGCGCCAGCTGATTGCCGCAGCGATGCGTGTTGCGCCGACTAACCATGAGCCAGGGAATGCCACCGGGCCCTACAGCGAAGCAAACGATGACGAGGATGACAGAGAGGACGCTGATGTTCGACATGAAGCTCGCCTTGTCCTCCGTGTACACGGACACTGGTGCAGGTTTGCGCAGAAGTGAGACAGTGAAGAAGAAAAGATGGGCAATACAGTGAGTGGCGGTGTGCTGTGGTGGGGAGGAGCAAGTGGGTAACGAAGAGAGAGGGAGAGACGAATGAATGAAGGGCACCATGTGCACATATATATACATACACAAGTACACAACACACATACGCACATACACACACACTCTCTCTCACTCTTTCTCTCCACCCCATCCGCGTTGGTTGTGTGCGTGTGGCGCGTGTCTTGTTCACCTGTGAGGAGGGCGTAGGAGGCCGCCATACCGAAGAGACCAAACAGCAGCAGCGGCCGCCGCCCGAGCCGGTCAATCAGCACAACAGACACCACGGTCATCACCACATTCACAACGCCAGCCTGCAAGCAGCGCCAACACGTGGATGTGTCGTGAGGGAGCGTGGTGGTGTGAGAGTGGGTATATGAGATGGGGAGGGGGTTATTGTGAGATGAACACTTCAAATGGACAAGATCCCATCACATCCAACACACACCCTGTCACAAATCTATCCCCAATGACCACCTTCACCACACACAGACAGACAGACACACACAGACACACACAGACACACACAGACACACACACACACACACACACGCCACGCAAGAGCGGTGGGGACGTACGATGGCGGTTGCCACGTCGCCGTTGTTGACGTTCGCGTCCTTGAAGATGGAGCTCGAGTAGTAGAAGATTGCGTTGATGCCGGAGAGCTGCTGGCACGCCTGCAGCGTAATGCCAATCACAAGCGTCTTCCACAATGACCGTGTTCGTAGCAGCTCAAACACGCCCAGCACCTGCGCATGGTGGAGGCAATGGGTCGTTGCAGAGAAGCAGTTCGGTTGGAAACGTGGAGGTGGTGTTCGCAATGCAATCGCTCACTCTCTCTCTCTCTCTCACACACACACATGGGTGATGCAAGCACTGCAAGGTAGTGCCACGTGGTGTTGCACGTGGCTTCGCTTCTCCTCCCCCCTCATCACCGCATTCACCTCAATTGCCGCCTGTGCGTCCTGTTCTTGCTGCATCCGTTGCATCTCGCCTTCGACTGCGCTCTCATCACCACCGCGCAGCCGGCGCAGGTGTCCTGTGCAGTCATCGTGGTGGCAGGGTCATGCGTGAGCTGGGCCCTGAGTTGTTGCGCGCCAAGTACACATGGGCATGCGTTTGCAGGTACAAGGAAGCAAACACACGTATACGCACATTCGTCAACGAACGAACGAACAAACAAACAAAACAAACAAGCAAACAAGCAAGCAAACAAACAAGCAAACAAGCAAGCAAGCAACGCTTGCATAAGGTCGCAGTGCATTGTATGCGCGCGTGTTTCCAACACACGTCGGGCATCTGTCTCGCGCCCGCGGGAGAGGAAGAGCCATCTTGGCGACTCCGGCACAAGGAAGATGGTGGCGAGTTGCAGGCACGCGGGCAGCAGCGAGAACCCTGTGGGGTGCGAGGAAGCGGGTCGGTGAGTGAAACGGCGCATGCATGTATGCACGTGCGTGTGCGTGTACGGGTGTGAGTATGCCTGTGCGTGTGCATGTATGAGTGTGAGTATGCCTGTGAGTGTGTATGGTGCGTCAGATTGGCAATGCACGCGCTCGCGGATGTGGCAAAGGACACCGCCCCACCGAGAAGATAGCGCCACAAGCTCACTGTGCCCAGGGCGTCATGGATCCCCATGCTCTGCAGTTCGCATGTGTATGAATGTGGGTGTGTGTGAGTGTGAGAGTAAGTGTGTGTGTGTGTGTGTGTGTGTGTGTGTGTGTGTGTGTGTGTGTGTGTGTGTGTGTGTGTGTGTGTGTGACACTCACACATGTAGACAGGAAACCGTTGACGTGACGTGTGAGGCGTATCGATCCCTCTAAGGAGTGAGACTACGCTCGGTTGTTGGAACTCTGAATACCATTCCCCGCCACCCCGAGTACACGAGAGTTCTCACTCATTCAGGCGCTCTTGCGTCGTGTGCGTATTTGACATTCACATTCCACACAGAGCCACACGTGTGTGTGCGTGTGCG